ATTATTATTATTATTATTATTTCATTATTCATTTATTGCAATAATTATGGTGAAAATAGTCCATTAATAGTCAGGTAAAACCAGCACCTTATTCTTCGATTTGCTTCATACAGAGGGTCGGGACTCTCGGTTATTAAAAACCTATTATTTGCTGGAAACATAGACTCTGGTGACGTTTAAAACGACTGGATCTGATTTACCCAATCGCTAACGTTTGGCAGTGACGTATGTAGTGCTCCAGTTCAACCGTGAAGGAAGCTAAGCTAAGAAGCTAACTGGAAACTGTGTGCGCCGTAAACAACCATCCTCTGCTGGGAAGAGAAGTACTGAGCCAAACTAGACGGATGTAAATAAGTGCTACCCAGTAATTTTAAAAAAATCATATAATCTTCCTAATCTACATTTCAATCAAATTTTTCTAACTTCCTTTTAAATGGACTGTCTTTATTTGCTGTCTGCCTTAGAGCCAGGAAATCTCATCATATATTTGACATCCTTGGACGTCTTAGGATTCTCTTTTTGAATATAAGACAGGAAATCCTGATGATACCACTCCAGATTAATGAAAATCAACTTTTCAAACTCGTGTAAACTAAACTAGTTTGATGCTAACCAATTTGCCAAATTTCAGCAAACTATGACTCATACTGAAGCTTTGGATCTTGGAACTGGACCGACCTGCTGCAGTCTGAACCTGTCCTCAAAAACTAAATATGCTAGAAATTAAAAAATGCAATGAAGGCCTCATAAGATAAACGGAGAACAAAACCACAAACGCGCTGTGCTTAGTGTCTTCGATGCCGCAAAGTCTTGAGTTTGTGAGATTTTTCAAAATAAAGTGGTAAAAACTGGATTGTTCCATGTTTAATGAGGGGACAAAACTTTCCTTCTGTCTGCAGTGAAACAAAAATGCAACTAAATCAAACAATCATCCCCCCCCCCCCCATTTTAAATTTTCATAATATCCAGCTTTTTCTGGCTAAAAAAACATAAAAACACAGCTGGTGTAAGACTTTAAGCTGTTATTTGTGTGTCTGGAGCTGCATGAGTCGGTCAGTTCATTTACACAGTCATGGGGGGGAGGGGGGBGGGGGTGGGGGTTGTTTGGTCATCTAAGCCTGCAGGGCTCAGACTTACCGGAGCGTCCAACACTATGAGCTGCAGCCAGGAGTGAAGCAGAAACATGCAACGTTAGGAGACCCCGTGCCCCCAGCTCAGTTTGAACAACTCGCAGCGCAACATCAGGGCTGTTTGCTCCTCTGGCACCTGGACACCAACTTCACTTTAAAAAATATAAACAACTTCAACTCACGATCATGCCGTGAAGCGGCAGCTGCCCGTGTACTTTGAACTGATTGGTCGCTGTGACTCCTTTGCTCGTGTAGAGAAGCATGTCTGAGAACTGAAAAAAACAAAAAACAAAAACAAAGATAAAATTTAAAACCGGATCAAACATCAGGCAGTTTTGTTGTGAAGCAGCAGTTTTTATACAAACCAGGAAAAACATCCTCTGCTGCAGCCCCTTCTTGGTGAGCTTGTACAGACAGCCCTCTCGGATGAACTCCTACGAATCAGAGAGTCAGACGGCGTTAGCCCGTCACCCCGCTCCCGCTACCCTCCGCCCCGCCTCGGAGCACGTACTCACCCGGCCCGGTGCCGTCAGGTTCTCAATCGCGATCAGGTCTCTCTGCAGCTCTGTCAGCTTCTGGAAGTTCTCCAGGCGAATGAGGCTGCTCTGAAGCTGCGTGGCGATCTCTGCCACTTCTTTCAGAGCCTCTGGGAGATTTCAAACCAGAAACAAAACATTACACCACTTCTCACCACTTCTCACCAGGTCACACTGAGAAAGGAGCACTCACCTTCCTGGTTTTACATTAGAAGCACAGTTTAAACCATCTGTCAGGATCATAATTTGAAGTAAGCCCACAAACTACCACTGATTAAAGCTCTCAGACCAAGGGCTGTAGTTACGTATAATTAGTACTTATACAAAGATATTTCCAACTTTACCAAATACATGGGAACTCCTTAAACTCCTGAAATGTTCTTTTTGAGATTTTCAATTCAGATAAAAAGACTGAAGTTATACAATCATTTCTAAACAAATATGGATTGATGAATTTTTCTTTGATTTCTTCATATTTTAAAAATTAAGACGTAAAAAATATAAAACTTCTCTTACTTTTGTTTTTCACATCTACAGTAAATAAAATGTTTTTACAGACTAATAACTTTCAATAAAAGCCAAGTTTGAGTTTTCAGCATCAGGACAGAAACATGAAAACAGATTCCACCCTGATTTTATTTATTCAATAAAACCAAATGAAAAAGCTGATTCCACAGGAATTAGAGGAGCAAGCAGCAGCTGATTAAATGTATTGACTAACTGATCATCAACATGATCACCTGTAGAAAAACAGGAGTCAGTTTGTTGCTCTGGAGCAAACAGGTGTGTGACAACAATGCCCGGGTGGCAAGAAATCAACATTTAATGAGATTTAAAGTTCATTTTAAAGACTAGATTGAGCAATGCTCTGAAAAAAAAGGAGAATAAAACAAAGCTTCATCTGTACAAGCTTCAGTCAGCAGGTTGATGATCCCAAACACACAGCAGCAGCACGTCTACAACAGAACAGCTGAAAAAGAAAAGAATCAAGGTGCTGCAATGATGCGGTCACAGTCCAGACTTGAACCTAATTAAAATCCTGTGGTGGGACTCTAAAGGCCTCTGCATCTGAACTGAGGGAATCCACTCATCGTCAGTTACATTGTGAAAACTCGATCATTTTGTACGCAGCTTCAAGTCTTCCACTCCTTGTCCACCCACTCCCCTCCATATAAGAAGTGATTATGGTGAGATTGGTCAAAAGTTTGTTGGCATGTTTGTTTATCCTTAAAGCGCTCTGAAAATATGTTTAGCCTCAAGTACTCTCTCCCAGAAGCCGACTGTTGCACCAGGAAGTCAATTCAATTCAATAACACTTTATTGATCCCAAAGGGAAATTACAGTAGACAAGCAGACATTTATAAAGATAATCAAACGGCCAAAAACTCATGGAAGGAGATTATGCACGGAGCAAAGTGTGGAGCTTTAACCAGGTGAGATTTATGGACAAAATGATAGCATCTGTGTGTGTTGTAGAAACTCTTGTGGCCCGATAAGAACAATTTTAGAACCTAGCAAAACCCAGTTCATTATTATTGTAGTTACAATCCGGTGGTGGGTAAACATTTCATTTGCGCTTTAGCGGTCTTACTAGTTTTTATAATTCATAAGCAGATTTGCTCTTTTTAAAGTTAAAAAGCAGCACCCACTAATAACTAATTATCTACCAGTCATCATTATCTTGAACAGCAGAAGGTATGGCTGTCAATGAACCACAACACATGATCTATCCAACAGCACCCCTCCCAGATAAACACACTTATTGGAAAGGTATACATTCTCGCTGACTGTTGTTTCGGTCACGGTTCTGATTTCCCACAATGCTTTGTGTCTGCTTACGTAGCAGGAAGGCAATAGCAAAAACAGTTAACGTTTGTAATCCATACTAAAATTTTGTATGTATTGATTTATTTTACTTTACAATCGAGGCTCCTTTAAAAAAAAGTTTAAACGCTGGAGCTCAATAATCGACATAATTGGTCGAAGCAATCGGCCAACGGGGTTAGATGGACATCTAGTGGTCAACTGGAGCAACTACATGAAAAACTTTAAAAGCCAAGCTCTTATTTTGAAGGGAAGATAGTTTCTTGTACTCCGTGCTTTCCCGTCACAAATCAAATCCGTCATGTACCCAGAATGCATCGCTTCAGTTTTCCAATAAACAGTTTTAAAATTAATTTATTGATGCTTCTTTAATGAAAAATCTACAACAAACAAAAGAAAAAGATAAAGAAGCAGCCGAACTAGCAATCCTCAACAACTTTTTAACTTTTACACCAGGAGCTAAACGCCTGTTTCATGAAATCATAAAAGTACAGATAAACAGACAAACATGTACTCTAGTAAAAGTAAAAGTACCACATTAACATTTTACTTGAGTAAAAGTAAGTAAGTACTTGCTTTTAAAAATACTTAAAGTATCAAAAGTAAAAGTACTTGCTTAATGTATTCCCTAATGGTCTACAATATCATGAAATGTGCCTACAGTATGTATATTTTTTAATACATCAATGGTGCCATTTTAGTGAACAAAGCTGCAGATAATACGTGACACTGTTCACACTTGGACTTGTGATTTTGTGCATCCTCACAGATTGTGACAACAGCTACAGAAGCTGTAAATTCACCACCAACGTTCTTTAGCAAATCTCAACAAGTCGTTTTTTGAACCAGTTAACTTTGAACAACTCTTTTAAATAAGACCACAAGGGGCACATTTCCTCCTTGGTGGAATCCATTATGGGTGTGCTGCTGCTGCTCTGCCTTTTTTTTGAAGGATGGTCTAATGGTACTTTCTTGCTTTGCAGTGGTTCAATGGACAAATTACAGCAAATCCCCTCTCACCATTGATTACTTTCAATCTAAAAAAAAGCAACCCCACCCCACAAAAAATAATACATAAATAAAATAAAAAAAGTAATGAGACGTGACAAATGTAATTTGTAATTCAACACATTACAGAAATGTAGTGGAGTAGAAAGTACAGATACTTAATGTAAAATGTAGTGGAGTAAAAGTAAAAAGTACCCATGATGAAATCTATTTAAGTAAAGTACAGATACATGAAAAATGTACTTAAGTABAGHAAVAAAGTACTTGTACTTAGTTACATCCCACCACTGGTTGTGCATTTATTGTACATGAATTGTTGCCAGCTAGTAAGTGTCAAATTGAACTTGCGCTTTAAAACAAGCTTCTGCTAGTTTTTCTGTGGCATAAGCGCTTTAGAAATTGCGGAGCTAATTTTTGGATTAGCGCTGCCCATCACTGTTAGAATCTTGTTTGATTGAAAGCAAGAATTATGCTCAGGAAATGGATTCAGTTCCCAGACTTAATATTTCTTTTCAGACATGTAAAGTTAGGTTACAGAGCCGCTGCCTAATGTCCGTGAGTTTACGTTTTCCAACAATGGTTATATAAAACCTGGTCACGCCTGCTGCGGGTGGTCCCTGCTATATCAGCATCGGAACGATGTTTTCTTGCGGCACGTGTTAAATGAAATAAAGACTTATTCTCTGTTTAAAGTAAGTCATTATAATCGATTACAAAAGTAGGGTTGGGCAATACAGGCAAAAAAAAACAACAAAAAAACAAAGAAAAAACACGATCAATTGTGGTATTTGGCTGGTAACAATTAATATGACAACTAATCTCCTGGAAGCTGTTATTTCCTAGTCCCATAATTCATTTAAATCACTCTAGTGGGACAGATTTGCTCTCTGTAAGAATCTCTTCCAATTTGCGTCAAAAGTACAGACTTAAAGCTTTACACCAGTTTTTAAATGGTGTTGACAGGACAAGTAAAACTGGAGTTATGATAAATAATTTATAGAACTTTTTTTAATGTTAGTCATATCTGAATCACATCAGGAGGCAAAGACTGACAAATAATAATAAAAACCCTCAATCCCCCCTCTGGTTTCAACTCCACCAAACTAGCATTAAATTAATGGGCAAGTGCCAAATATTAATAGTCAAAAGTTCTTCTGCTGAACCCTATCACAAAGTATGAAATATAAAAGTGCATCTTAAATTCAGTTAATCTATAAAAAAATATCCATTATGTTCTGCTCCATAAAATCCTAGAATCTCTCTTTTCTTTGCAGCTGCACTTCTTTTATCCCTGTAAAAACTGGAGACTATACCTCTTGAAGCATCAATTTAAGCTAAATTAAACAGGTTATTGTGAGATGCTGTGGTATTGATAGAGTTGAATAAAAATGTGGAGGCGTGGCACCACTCACCCTTGCAGTCCCTGTAATCCCGGTGAGCGGGGGAGTAATGCTTGCAGAGTCTCTCCAGGATGAGCTTGTAGTGCATCAGACGCTGGATGGGTTTGAGCAGGAACGTGTTGAGGGGCAGGTAGCACACCTTCTGTAGCTCAAACTCTTTGTAGACCGTCTCCAGCTTCTTCAGCCTCTTGGAGGCCTTCTCCAGCTCGGTTAGAACCTCGTCGTGTTTCTGCAGGTAGCTGGTAAATTCCTGCAGGAAAAAAAAAACAACAACAAACAAAGCAAAGACGATGTGTTTGTTGACCGACCGGAGAACAGCAGCAGACGATTTAAGGGCTCCAGCTGCAGCTTTACCTTAAGAGCAGACATGTTTTTCAGCATCACATCACCGATCCTCTGGTAATCTCCTTTAACATGAGCATTTGAGCGCCCCTCCCTGTCAAAACAAACGTTTGCAGACTCTGTCTCAGCAGGTGAGTTTTAAAATGTTAGACGACAGAAAGACCAAGTCAGAGAAGTCCCTACCAGAGAGCCAGCCTCTGGTCCAGCTCCTTCAGGAAGCCTCGGTGGAACTCGTAAATGGGGTCGATGTTGGAGAAGAGGAGGGTCATCAGGCCCTCGGGCATGGCGTTTTCTTTGATCACAGCACTACGGAACCACTGAAACATGACAAAACACTGATTCACTACGAGAACTGTCTAACATTGTGCAGGGAAAAAGTGTTAGATGTGCATTTTATCTTTCTCCAAGATACATGGGGTTAGTAGGACCTAATAAATATTCATAACGAGACTCTGTCATGGTAAAGGAAGTGGTTCTTGAAAAAAAAAGATGTCCTCATATAAGGACAATGGGTCTCAAAATGCCATGCTTGTTGAAGAATATCTCATAAATTACCATGCAGAACTTCTGGGGGTACCTTTTTCCTAGTTATTTTTGGCAATATAGCAGCCAGCTATTGACCAAAGCACGATCAGTGAAGAACATCATCATCATCATCATCATCAACTTTAATTTAGAATCAGTAGGAACGGTGTACTTCAATCGAAGGGATAAGATTATGAAATAGTCTGGAAGATGGCATTAAAAATGTCAAATCAAAGGGTGTATTTAAGACAGTGGTGTCCACAGTCAGCCCTCAGGGGCCGGTGTCCCGCATGTTTTAGGAGCTGCCCTGGTTCTACACAGCTGAACCTAAGGAGTGCCTAATTAGTAGGGTTGGGCACAATCGTATGGTGTGTGATTAATCGTCAGAAAAGCATTAATCGATTAATTTTTGGCACTTGACAATTAATACGATTAATGCCACCAGGCAGAATCCACTCTCTGCTCCTCTCAGCTTCAAATATGACGAACATTAAAAAAAAGTTCTGTAATTTATTTATCTATCAACACAATTTAAAATTTGATGTATAGCCTGAAGTCTGTAATTTTGACACAATTTGGAACAGATTTTTATGAACTTTCCCACTAAATTGGTCATGTGACTATGAAATAAGGGTGTCCAGGGACTCCAGGGGATTAATCGTCAAATTAATCGTTATCAGCTAAACACCACAATTAATCATGATTAATTTTTTTGCCAATATTGTCCAACCCTACTAATTAGTAGGCCTCTGCAGACCTTACTGAGGAGTTTCCCTTCGGTCGGGACAATAAAGGCTATTTCTATTCTATTCTATTCTTATTTATTCATTTTCTTCTTTTTGATTTGTGTTTGGTATTTGAAGACAAATTTGTTTAAATTTATTTTTTCAAGAAAGGGGGACGATATAAGATTTTTTTCTTCTTCTGCTACCTTTCATTTATGATTTATATTTTTGTTGTATATAGAATGTATATAATTATTTCTGTTATTTTTTTATAAAAATTAATGAATAAAAAAAACTAAACTTTCAGATTGATCCTCAGTTTGAAAAACAATGGCAGGAAATCGCACGGTGACAAAAAACATGATTTTGAGCAGAAAAGCCTTACATTTTATAGATTTTCCCTGTGAGCTGGTAAATCTTGTTTGAGGTTTCCTCTTTATGACATAAAAATATCTCATTAGAATAAACTAAAAATAAGATTCAGACAAATTATCAATGAGGTCTCATGATTAGCAATAATAATAATAATAAACAACAACAATAAATAATAATAATAATAATAATAATAATATAACTATAAATAATACTTTATTTGTATGGAACCTTTTTAAACAAATGTTATAAAGTGCTTTACATTAAAAAAATCAATGAAAACAGCATTATAAATAACACATCATGAAACACAAAATGTACACCAAATCAAATTAAAATACCAAACAATATAAGAAAATGAAATGATAAAAATACAAAATAAATTCAAGTATTACAGGTCTTATAAGTTTTAACTAAAGACTTAAAAAGGAAGATAAATCAGTTCACATCTCTGAACTCGTGATATCAGGATGATCCAGGTGCATCTTAATGCAGCTTAAAAAGCAGAAATCTGAAAATATGCTGAGGTCATTGTGACCTAATGTGACTTAATCCTCAGTTTGATGTGACGGGTCATATTTAGTTTACAACTCTGGTTTAAGTTGAAAAATAAAAACTCAAACGTGAACAAAAACAGAAGACAACAGGTTATATTAACTAAATTGAACTTCTCTGTTGATGCTGGGCTGTTTTGCAGCCGACTGAACACAATTTGACACTAAAGCTGTCGAGGTCTTTATTTGTTTTTAACCTTTAGTAGTTTCTGTTTACTCCACTGGAGATTTAACTCTTTAAAAACTGTCCTAAAAAATCTATTTCCATTCCAGACTTTGCCCTTTGGTTTGAACTCACCACAGTGATGACCTCCAAGTCTTTCAGGTACGTTCGCTCTGTGGTCAAAATCTCTTTGGCAATAAAGTAGGCCTTGTCGGTGGGATATCGCTGAGGTGGGAAGCAAACATTTATTAACAAACAAATGAAAGAACGCATCAAGAGAAAAACAAATAAATCTAACTCTACAAAACAAAAGCTTTCTAAGCTCCAGGTAAAAAAATTAAAATTTGTGTGTGCTCTATGACTTGCTGGTGAGGCAGGTGGGGGTGGTTGGAAGGGTGGCATGCAAGCAGTGTACCTTCCTCCTGCCCTCCTCCTCCTCCTCTAGCCTGGCAGTGCTGCCCACCTCGCTCAGGATGGGGCTGTGCAGGGGGGACGGGGCCTGGCTGGGCAGGCTGAGGGTCGACAACTGGAAGGAGGGCGACAGGCAGAGGGAATCCTTGGAGGCGAGGGGCGAGAGCTGAGGATTGTCCACCACTGAATCTAGCAGAGAGAGAGAGAAAAAAAAGGTTGAATTTCCCCACAAGTATCTTATTTCTGTGAGAATGAAAGAGAAGCTGCTAAACAGAGAACACCACTTTCATTTTTTATTACAAGGTACTGTTTCCCTTCAAACAAAAAAAGGATAAATGATTAAATGTAACAAAACAAGCCGAGGAACTGGTTCTGCTGTTTCCGTTACAACAAATGAGACGACAAGAAAAGTAAACACCAGGCTGTTGTTTTTACTGAGTCATGGATCTCTACAGCTGCTCTTCCACTTCTGTAAGGGAAGGGGGAAAAAAAAAACTTGCTTCTCGACCCGGAAATAATTGCGAACACAAAAACCCATCAGGAATGTGGCTCATCTGGAGGGTAAAGATGTTGTTTATAGTTGATCTGAAGCGGCCCGCGGGGAATGAGACAAAAAAGGGAAGGGGGGGAGAGAACATCAGGGATAGGGGGTTTGCTGTGGAATGACTTGGCACAAGTCCCGTGCACACGCACGCACGCGCACACACACACACACACTTTACTGGAATTAGGCCGAGGAATCTTATGTAAAAACATCCAACCCAGCCCCGCCCCCAGCATGCAAGTCTGCTGCACCAAATCCAAGCTTTGGTTTGAATTAGCTTGTTAAAGGAAGAACAGCAGTCTCAGCTTCAAACTACTGAGTCCAACGAAACATATTTGAGTGAGGAGTTATTTACAGCACTTTCATTCAGTCTCTCCTCTGAAACAGGACTTCTCCAAGACCCGAATCTTTTAGGGACTTTCTCCCCCCCTCGCCAAAGTAATACAAATAAATCTAATCAGTACTGATTTACATCTGGACCTCAAAAAGAAGTTTAAGTCTGACATTCATGGTACCCAGAAGTGATTCCTTTATTCTTGAGAATAGAACATACAAACATTAGGTACAAGCTGTTTATAATTAGTATTTTTATACACATGTTCAGAATTAAGTGATGAATACTTGGTGTCTAAGTGCAGTTAGATAAAAAACTATTAAATATTAAGTTTGAAAATGTGAGAAAACAAACAAAAATAATAAAAAAAAGTTGTAAAAATCTCTACCAGTTTACAGATCTGAGCTTAAATAATGGTTCAAACCCACTGCAGAGACACTGAGAACCCACTTCTGGTGTGTTTCTGTGGTCTGTTGTTCTTAAAAATGACAATGAGAATACATGAGCATCCGGCTAAGACACCTTGATCAAGACGCCCCCACGCCCCTTGTGTTTTTATTTTTTTTAGATATGTGGTGGAAAAATCAAAAAAAAGCTAGCGATAGTAGCACACTGCATGAAGTGGTGGAAAGTTTGAAACATGCTTCAAAAAAAAAACAAAAATAAATCTGATTTCAGGTCCCAACTTCAAATCTACAACCAGACAGTCCAGAGGAGAAGATGTGAGAGAAATGTTCATGAACTGAATGAATCAAATACGTTCATCTGTGTAGAATTATTTTAAGACGTGCTTTAAAAAAAATGGTAATATAGCTGAGACCATGTCAACAGAGGCTGCAATACACAGATCCTACTATCAGACTTCAAATCCAGCAAATACAAAGAAAGAGGAAAAAAACTAACTACAGCTAATGTGCAAAAAACTGGTTTCCTTTCAATAAACTTAGAATAATTTGTTGGTTTTCTACTTTAAAACTAGAACCTCTATGCATGCTAAAGGCAGAACTTGCAAGAACATTTAGTTTTTCTTTAAATGATCAAAACACCATTAGTTTCGCAGCATTTTAACTTAGTAATCTGTAAGCTATTATATGTTATATGAAATGCCATAAATATAAAGCGATACATTCATTTAGTATTTTGAGTATATAATGGCTCATTACTACACTGTTTACAT